TTGACGTAAACTGTAAGTTCGATTATAGAAAAGAGGGGTGTTAGGACGATGAAATATAGCAGAAAAAAAAAAGAAGGATATTTATAGAATTTGTGCATATATTTAATGAAATATGCGTAACCCTTCGTGTTAGCAGCAAAAATTGACGTAGACACAGTTCATTGTTTGTCTACGCGCAACTACAAATTAAAGACCAACAAAAACCACTCGTATAAGCTCCGGCACCTACATTCATCCTTTCGATATTCGCGACCAATGGTGTGTAACAAATGAACGCACGATACGCGAATAACTATAACGTGGCATTCTGCAGCTGGTAATTTTCTCCTCAGTCGAGTTGAAATAAGAACGTTGCTAGCAAAACAGAGCATAGCTTTAACACAAATCTAAAAACGTTGCACCAGAAAACACTTACTTTCGAAACGTTTACAGCTGTGTTTGTTTGTGGAGACGCGATTTTAGTCGAATATATTTCATTAAAATTTAGTTTTCTATGAGCTGCATGTGCTTCATCGGTCTAATGTTTGGAAGTCGACGACGTTTCAACCTGGCAAATGGCTTAAGATAACCGAAACGTCCATGGACCTCTAAACGCCTAACAACTGTTTCATCGACGTTTCGAATTGTTGAAGGGCTCATGACAGTAGCCGAAACGTTGTTCACTTATCAGGCAGGCGGCAGCAATGCCTACCTGGGGATGGCCCAGATTGTTCATCGAAATGTCATTTAAAATATCTCTTCAATAGGTCATCAAACTTTACAATACTATACAGTGTTACATTTTATAACATTATCTATGTAATGACCGAGTCACAAGCTCTGGGAATGTCTGTAAATATCATATCAAAAAGTTTGAATTTCTTGTTCTTCTTCTTTCTTCTGCTTCATTCTTATTACATGATAACTCAAAAACCAAAACAATGGCGTCAACCAATTTCACTGAGGTGACGTAGTTTCAAACGGAGTATCCGCTTTTATAAGTATTGTTAATAACTAGTAGTAATTTTAAAAAAATCATAATTCTAGTGTAAACGATGTTATCATTACCCCTTGAAGATAACTTTCTTACAGAAATTTGTTGTTCTGTTAAAAAAGGGTAAAACAGGAATTACCAGCCAATAATAAACAATAAATACTACAGTTGGAACCTCAATGTATTTAGAACTTCCTATGTATATTGAAACACTACATTAAACAACAACAAGAAGAAACAAACAAGTAAAGAAAAAAGTTTTCGAAAAAGGAAGTAAATGTAGAGATGGCTAATATCAATCCTTCAAAAACAATGCAAAGAAGATAGTAGGGATGACATTTGTATCATCCCTACATAATAGCACAGACAAGAATTAACATATAACAATATATATAACTATTCAATCACAATTGAGTTTAATTTATTCTATTTCTGTATGTTAACATTCTACTACACTGTGTGCCTTTGCTATTATGTAGGGTTGATACCAGTACCATCCCTATCATCTTGTT